AGCCATGCGGCGTAGTTTTGAACATGGAGGGGATCAGCTACATCCGCTCTCTCTCTCTCTCTCTCTCCTTTTGCTTCCCCCCCCCCCCCCCCCCCCCCCCCCCCTCCTCTTCTCTCTACGATCCTCTCTCCTTTGCAACAGCCCTCGCTTCTTTCTGTGCACACGCTGTTAAGTCAAGTTATCCGGGGATCGTCCATGCATACCAGCAAGATAATGAACAGTAGATTTGCTTGTTCCTGATCTCGCGGAGGGTTGGTACAGACATTGCAGACACTGCGGATTTCTTCTTGATTCTGTCATCAGGTTGGAAAGAAAACATTCTCAGCTATCTCGATCCTCCGTGACATGCTTTCTCTGTCTGAATTCTGCACTTCGCTTCTCCTGACGAGGTCGACAGCCATCCACCAGAGTTCCTGCACGACAAACCTATACATCCTTACTGTTCTTCCTCTCCTACTCTTCCTTTGTCTGTTGGGCCTGCTGAGGTTCTTTCAGTGTCTTCTTCGTCTCCGCGAGCAAGAGCGCAAGTTGAACGAGAAGATAGACATGCTGGTCTCTCACATGGCACAGAAACGTTTCCAAACTCGTTGTGATGAGTGTGCTGAGCAAGGGGATGTGACGTCGAACAAGACCCAGTCAACGGAAGGAGCTCCTGTTTTCTTCGTTCGAGCAGAGTCCTTCCCTTGTGGTCAAACTTGCAGCCACGACAAGGGCGAGCATGTGTTTTGGGGGAGAGGAGAGTGCTCTGATGGCAACGACCACAATACCTTAGCATCCAGCTTGTTTTCGCGGTCACAGAGCTGCGTTCCAACTCGAAGGATGCCTGCCCCCATCAAGGTGAGGAGCGAGAACGAGCAAGGAATGTTCGTTCGCTGTGAAAGCACGAGCACCAGGGCGTCACACTGGACAACAGCATCCTCCCGCGCTCTCTCCCCTGTCGACGGAACAAACGGGCAAGAGGCCGGGCAAGAGCCTCTCTTGCAGCCTCTCTACGCAGAAAGTTCACCTGCGGAGTCCCCGATCAAGAACCCTAACCGCATGTCTCCTTGCGCAGACGTCCCCGGCTTCTCTCGGACAGCATCGACTCACGACCAGTCGAGGAGAAGGAAGAGTGTGGGGCAGGTGGATAAGACTGGAAAGGCTTCGAGCGGTGCTCGATTTTATGCAAAGGTTGTGGCGGGGAGGTCTCCGACAGTGGATTGAGACGGTGCCAAGTCACACGGTTCGGAACTTGCACTGAAACTCAGGCGTCGGCCGTGAGTACGGTCAGTCTGTGGTGGCACCCAGCTAGCCTGGTCCGAGGCTTCACAGCCACTGCCGGCTAGCGGCTCCTAAATTGCCTTTTGATCTGGCTTGCATTGAACTCCTCAGTTGAACTGTCACGATACTGCCAGTTCAAGTGCCTATCAAAACTGATGAGTCCGATGAGCCTTTAAGCTGGCACCGTCGAGTTCACAGAGCCTACTACTAGTAGTCCGAGTCACAGACTGAGACTCCGGGCCCGGTAACGCTGGCCGGGCGTGAGCCTCTGAGCCCGGCACGGCAACTACGGTAGCCGCAACGGCCGCAGAGGAAGATCATGACTCAGTGATTAGGCCGAAGATGCGCTCAGTGGCTGGCACGGCAGTCGCCGCGAGTCGGATCGGACGTCACTGGGATGATAACGCGCGGATCATGACTCACTGATTGAATCATCCCGGCGTCCGGTCGTCTACTATCAACTACTAAATCAATCATGATGTGAAGCGGCGCCGTCACTGACCGGCGGGGGGCCCCAATCCGCTCCGGCGCCGGACCTCCAACGCCCGGACCGTGCGGCGGACGCCGCCCCCCCCCCGGCGTGGCCCACGGTGGCAGGGCCGGCTGACGGGGCCGCCCGCTGCCACTAAGACTCTCCGGACCCGGTGACGCCGTACTTCGCTGTACGGTACGCCGGTCACGTCCGATCATGGCATCCTGAGTCGAACCATTACTGAGTTACCGCCGCCGCTTAACCTTGCGTAACTTGAACTTGGCAGTTACAGTTAGTACTGCCGATCATCGGCGAATCATCTCGATCGCCGGGGTCCGATAGTCATCCAGGGCCATCATCCGGATGGGGCCGGGCCCGGGGGGCCGCTGTCACTCTGTATTGTGACGGAGGCTCAGTGGTGGCAGATGGGGGGCCGTGATGACTGGGGGCTGTGTCGACGGCTGAGGGGGGCCCGTTTCAAAGATTCCGAGTTTCACCTTTTTCAGCGGATGACATGATTACAAGAGCCGCAAAACTCCTTTTATGACCCGAATTTATACCATGGCGGGTGGGTCCACAGATGGGGAAGGAGGGGTAGGGGTCATTGGGACCTAGCATCCCATACAGCCTTCGAGACTTCCTGAGATTTGAGGGGCCATAACCTTTTGTAACAAGGAGGGGTACTACAGAGTGGTCTTTAGGGGGTAGTGGTACTGCCCTGATGACTACGCTACAGAAAGAGTGATACCTGGAACTCAAGTCGTTTGAGATCTAAAGTATCCTTGCTGACATCCGTACTTCTCGAAATGGGGATCAAACGAACTCAGTACCCCCATTTTGATATTGTTATGAAGGGGTTGTCTTGTCGTGTAGTAATTATGTCACATGGAAAGATATCATTCGATTTGAACAATATTAAAGGATCTTGTCAACATTTCAACATAGAACCTATGATTTCATTGGATATGTTTCTCCCTCGGATTGGATTGTGTCCCCGTGCAGATCGGAAATACCAAACGTTGTACATTCTGAACCTTTCGAATCTTTGGCATCAAACACCCTACCCTATGTCAACATTCTACCCTACCCTCACAAAATCAAACTCCTGATATGATTCTACCCTACCCTTACAGCCAATCAGAGTAATCCGCGGATCACAATGGGGTAGTGTGGGGGAGTTATTCCCCGTCGATGACTATTTCTGCTCCCTGCGCGCGGCTGAAGGGATCGAGCAACAAGACTTGGTTCTTCCTCTTACGCCATTTAGCAGCCTTCCTGCTTCCTCCTCCTCTCCTTGACCTACAACTCCTCAGTTCATCACAGCTTCTCTGGCAACTCTACCTGTCTACCTCTGCTAGATTGCTCCTGCTCTCTTCTTTGGGCTGCAAAGACAATGACTGTGGAGGTTCAACGTCATGCCGCCTCCTTCTCGATGGGAAAATCACCGATGCCGCGTGTACCCAGCATGCCCAGGAACCACTCATGTGAATTCGATCAATCTCCTCCCAATCTTTCTCGTGTACGTCGTGGATCGGCCCCGAACTTGACTAGCACGTCAACTTCTGGAAGCGTGTCGCCTTTAAGCACAAGCAAATCAGCGATATCGCCCTCTTCTTCGCTCTCGTCTCCTACGCTCTCTTCGGATTCTCACAAGTCACTACTCAAGATGGACTCGAGTGGTGAGGAAAGGAGAGGTCGTCGTGCCTCAGTTCACTTTGAGACGGATGCCAATCCTCCTGCCGATCTTCAGCATCAGACCCCAGAAAAGGCCTGCCGCTTCTCGTTCAACAACGAGCGTGAGAAATGGTGCAAGTCATCCTGCAAGGTTCACTTCAATGAAACTCCACTGTCAACTACTCAAAAGAGCGCCACCTACAAGATGGTAGATGCCTTGACCGGCGAAGAGAAGATCTGCACTCTTTTTCCTCCAAACACTCCCGAGGAAACTTACTTTGATGATGCCATGATCCAGCATCTTGCTCAAGAGTATGCCTTGTTGTTCAACGAGATTTCAGAGTATCCCGTCAAGTTTGTGCCCAAGGACGTGTACAAGCTGTCTGAAAGGCAAAACTTTCTGGTGAGCGTCCACCCCAAGCTCTGTGGCGAGTTTGCGCCCAACGAGGAGATGGTGCTGACAGAGGCGGAGCAAGACATCATGGAAGCCTTCTCGCACTTCAGCTGGGAGGCGTCCCACGGCAACCTTGTCATCACCTCAATGAGCGGCTATGGCGGAGTCTACACCAGCGCCAGGATTCACAGTGTAGAGCAGCAGTGGCTCAAAGATCGAGGCACTGAGGGCATTGTTCGCTTCTTCAAGAAGCACACTTGCAATCAATATTGCAAGATGCACAAGTTTCGTCCCTTCAAGATGCCGGAGCAGTTCAAGGAGGCTCCTGCCCCGGTTGTTGCAGAGAGGAAGGCTGAATCCGTCAAGCCGCCCCCCCTTGCTCCTGAGGAGAAGAGCAAGGCAGAAGCTCCGAGGCACATGAGCAGCTGGATCGAAAAGATGGATCAGCCCCCGCCACTGATCGAGCAGGGGGCTGACAAGAGCCCCGTCAATACGAGTAGCAGGCCAGTCAAGGTGCCCCTCATTCCCGACAGCCCTGAAACGCACGCGCTCAAGACCGACTCGACCTTGCAGGACCTCAACAGCCTCACCAAAGGGATGCGCAACCAGCTAGGGGTGAAACCTCCCAAGATGCAGCAGGAGCAGCCAGGCAGCAAGTCGCCCAAATACTCAGGCCTGCTCGTGTCTAAGGGAGTACCTGGAGGAGTGTTGAAGATCACCAAAGCGGGGATGAAGAGCATGGACAGGGAGAGGAAGCACAGTCCTCTTCGGAGGCAGATCTAGAAGTTTAACTGTAGATTACGTGGTAATGTACATGTACATTTTGAATTGTGGCTACTCTCCCCGCATCCAAAAGCACATCATTCGTGCATCTTCGTATACCTCATGATCAAGCCTTACCCTTCAGCTTCAGTGAATTTGTTGGTCCTGTCAGGGACGAACTGGAGTTGGTTGGAGACCATGGCCGTGAAGGCTTGAAGGAGGACAGAAGAGAGGCAGGGCTGCTCTGGCTCTTGCCGTTCAAGAAAGGGCAGGCAGTGTGCGATGCTCTCGAGGGTGGAGAGGTAGTTGTGCTTGGGTTCCTTGCGAAAGATATACTTGCCTGTTAACCCTCCAGCAAACTGTAAAATGAAAGATGTCAAAAATTTCTGACTCACTTCATATATCGCCCTCGCTCTCCATTTCCCTCACTCGTCTTGCATTCCTCCTCTTTTCTCCATTCCCACTCTCCTGGCTCCAAATTTTTTTTGCTGCTACTTTCGTTGCTACTACACCATCTTCACAAGCCCACAGCTCACCTGTACTCTCCTAAATCCGTGAAGGAAGGAGCAGCTTCGGTACATCGATTTAGCCTGCGCCCAAGTCCCATCGATGACAACAAGGTGCTTGACATGCCTAAGAACATCCTCCTCGTCTGCATTAGCCTGAGACTCTTTCAGCCCCAAGTTGATCGCCCCCTTGTCTCTCAGCTCTGGATGTTTCAGCAGGAAGATATCGTCTTCCTCCAAATCCGGGAACAGAACGACAGTGTTTTTGGTGTTCAGATCGTAGCTGAGCTTGAGCTGGGCCTCGAAGTTCAGAGCGATGGCATGATACACAAGCTTCTCTCGCGCTAGGCTCAGGCTTCTGGAGCCTCCTCCATGCGGCATCGTGAAGTTTCCCTGCAGAACGTGGACGTTCTTCAAGCAGAGCTGCACGATGGGAACAGTGCCGTAGGTTTTCTTCTTCCTCTCCTTTGGGTGCTGCAAGATCATAATCTTCAACTTTGACTCAATCGGCTCCTCTGGCAACGACGAACATATGCAGACTCGAGCGGGTCGCAGGCAGCGGTGGCAGAGACGCGCATCTGCTCCTCGACACCTCACGGTCAACGGTTGCTTGACCTGGTTCAAGTTGACGTCCAGGGACATGGTGGTGCCTGAGGCAAGAGCGTGAGCTTCAGGAGCCTGCATCTCTCTCTCACCAAGATCGGGCTGAAAGCAGACCATGGGGCCTCGCACGCCCCCCAGGCGCCTCGAGCTACATGGCAGCTTGCAGGCTGCCAGTCTTTCATGCTCGTGCACAGTGCAGCGGTGGAGGAAAGCGAGGGAGTTCGCCTCATAGTATGTTGCAAGTGAGGTACGAAGAACAATTGCGAGGAAGAGAAATGAGAAAAGAAGCCGAAAGGAGAAAGAGCAAGACAGGAAACGTCTGGACATGACACGAGACCAAACCAAGAAACAGAATTCACATTCGTGGTTGACCGTTCCTGGAACCTTGAAACCAAAAAATCTTCCATCAACAACCATGAAACCATGAAAATCGATGGTACGCATTGGCGCCTTATCATAGTCATAATATCCCTTTCCTTCAGTTGGGCTGCAGTATTCGTTGTCTTTGTGCTTGACTTCTAATCTACAATTTCAACGTAATCGAATCCTAATTCATCTGTCCACCTTAGCTTGCTCTGTCTAACCTGATATCCATCACAGACATCTACCTCATCTACCTCATCTACCTCGTCTACTCCTTGAACAATAAACTTCCTGGCCAATAACGCTCCTCCCTCTCTGTCTCTGTCTGTCTGTCTGTCTGTCTGTCTGTCTGTCTGTCTGTCTGTCTGTCTGTCTGTCTGTCTGTCTGTCTGTCTGTCTGTCTGTCTGT